GGAGGGATGGAGCTGAGAGTTGGAGTGAATGGGGTGAACAGTAGGGCCCCACTGGGGATTCCAGATGACTCTTGCAAGGCTTTGGAGTAGAAGGTCTGGAGCAGCTGCCGCTGGATCAGGGAATTCAAAGCCATCTTACCGCCCACCAGAGGGAACACAGGAGAGTAGAAGTCCTGTCCAATGCCTGTGGGACTGAATGGGTGCGTTTCGCTGCTGCTGCTGCTGGTGGCTGTGCTGAGGGGGTCCGCATAACTGCGAGACAGGGGGAGCTGGGACGAGGAAGGAAGAGTGGGTGGGGGAGGAGGGGGCGAGGAAGAGGGATCGCTGGGCATGGTCTCCTCCTTTGTTGTGGACTCTTCTGTCCCTTTTCGCCCGGCTGACCCTACAAGAAAGGTCAAACACACCATGCATTATGGGGGAGTCAACAAAAAAGGGGTTCCAAAACGAGAGAGGAAAAAACCAAAAGTTGAAAGTTATCTTAATCAAGTCTTTTCCAAATTGGTGAACTTTGTTTTCCTTTTTTGCTAACCCCCCCAGACAAAGTGCCCATGCATTTGTGATTTCAACCTTTCTTGTAAGCCACAGCCTGGAAGAAAAAAGGACAAACAAAACAATTGACACTGCGCCACTTAGGCAGATTAGCTTGGCCCAGGGCTCAGTCTCTCTCTTTGTCTCTTGCAGCAAAGTGGAAGCAACAGGACAAAGTAAACTGGTGTCCTTAGATAACAAGTCCTCTTCCATGCTGCTGCAGTATGTTCCTAAACACTGAATTACTCCACTGTAGATGTAGAATCATAGTCTTCAGTTCATAAAAATACATCCAGCAAGACATTGGAGCAATAAAGCCATTTTTATGGCTGAAGAGAAAACAGATGCATGTCTCCAAACACAGACAGTACAGCTCTGCTGACGCTGACTCTGAGTATGAGTCTTATTTCACTCCTTTCCAGAATAACTGTTACATTCACCAAAACCAATATAGATGTAAACTATATTTTCGGAGTACTGTAACAAGTAGAATCTATCTTGATGATAAGCGCTGGGAGAAATATTATTCTAATGCATAACCTCTGAGACTTAACATGATTGAGTAAGACAGTAAGCTCCCCTTACCGTGAATGTTAATCAATTCAAAGCTATTCAACTATTCAAGCCTAAAGCCATGACATTTCAAACCCATAAACACTGTTGCAGAGGGCAGGAGCCCTGATGTAGGGTGCACAGCACTGTGTCCTCGTTTTCATGTACTGCAACTCTGTTGGCATTCAAAGACACCAAAGATGCATTTTCGTTCTTTTCAAAAGTGTGGGACTAAACCAACAATATTTGTCTATTGTGGTGAAGTTAGTCATTTCTTACGCATAGTGAGGACTCAATCTTGCAAATAATTCAAATAAACATAAAAAAAATGTAAGTATTCTCAGAGAAAAAGAATCTATATGCATACACACAGTATGTAATACAGTACCCTGATGTAATCTCTTCAAAGTCTTCACTCCGCAGCCTTACCTGTAGCTGAATCCTCCTCCCTAAGCTCCTATGCATATTGGACTCAATTTGTATGGGCATTCTTTCATTTGTATTGGCTTAACTGAAGGTTTTATGAAGATAGTTTTGCCCGTGTTGATGAACCCCGGCTTTATGATAAACTTAAATCTGCGAAAACTTACCACTGAGGTCGGTGTTGGCGATGCGCAGAGCGGCACTCTCAGACTGAAGACTACGGTTCCTCTCCAGCAACAGCACCTCCAGAGGTTTGGATGAGTCCTGATGGAAGGAACAGGTGCAATGGAGATTATAAAATGAGAATTTTTCAAAATAACTATGCTCTGGTCTGTGCCTTCCAAAGTTCATTTTACTGATTTAGGGTGTAAATTATTAGTCTCATCTGATACAATCCTATATTGACTCTCTTAAACAGCGATACAGTGTTTGCTGATACTTAAAAATATGCCACAATGCGATTTTGATTCAGTTTGATTCAGGGGCTTGCAATCGATATGAAATGATATTATGTGGCTTTTTCACACAGTTACATTTTTATTCACTGAAATACAACAAAAGTATTACTGTAAAATTTTATTGAGTTCTTCTGTTCACTTCCAAGTGCTATTTAAATACAAATAAGGACTAATGATGGCCTTCCAATTCAACAAACGTCTTTGAGATAAGAAGCATTTACATTGTCACACATACAAAAAAAAACAAAAAAAAAACATATTTCTTACATTGAAGTGGGAGTTCTGTTTAAGACTTAACATTCACACTTACTGTTGTGTGTGTCCTTTTAAATCCAGAATACTTCTATACCCATGACTTGTTTCTGATAAGAGAATTTACTCTGTGTATTTGTCTTGGCTCCTACAGGTCAAGGCCAATTCTCATAGCATTTTGTTACTTGTCCTCTCACACAACAGATAAAACTCCAATCTATTAAATGTGTCAGTCCACACTGACTCAGAGACATGTGTGTGAGACACGCGTCAGCCCCGGAACCCCGCCCCATTTTCTACACTTCACGTTTCCTCTCTCTGGTGGGTTTAACGAGGTGTAATCCCCACCGACCGTTTGTCCGCCACTGTCCTGCTGACAGACGAACAGCTGTTGACAGTGATGCTGCACGAAGGTCGCTGTGGACTGAACGGATCAAATGCTTCAGTAGCGTATGCGCTGCTCACGTTTCACTTTTAGTGCGAATTCCCAGTCTCAGAATGCTAGCTGCACTCACTGCCTGGTGCTAGATGTCCAGTTTGAAAAGAACAGCGCCTCACTGGAAACAGACGTTTGTGGCTGGCTGTCAAAATACATGCACACAAAGCATCAATGTTTACGATTTGCATCGATGTCATCAGATCGTGGGGTGTTTGATTGGATTATCAATCCAGATCAATGGAACACCTCTATTACTGATCCAGTTGTGTGATTTTAATTTTGTAACATTATGTGCAAGTGGCCCAGTGGTAAATGAAGCTAGTGTACATCGACTGTGACTGTCACTTTTACCTGCACAGAGTCAGATGTTCCGAACTCCACAGACTTGAGGATACTGAGGAGAAAAAGTGGGAAAAATAACCATAAGAGTCCCCAACAAAGACACATGCACACATATACCCTCACTGTGCAGCATGTTAGCTTGTCTATTTCTGTCTCTTTAAGGACAAAGACAGAACAGAGGAGTGGGGAGCAGGAGAGACACAATATAAAGCTACACATAAAAGCTTCATATTCATAAGGGCACTGAATTGAGTTATACATCTTAAATGCAGACACACATCTGTTTAACATTGTTAAAGACATCAAACACATGCAATAAACAGATCTGTGCTGGACAGAAACATACACACACACACACGTATATAAAGAGGACGGTGTGTGCGCCTCACCTCAACTCCTTCTTCACTTCTTCATAGTCTGCTTGCTTCTGCAGTTTCTCCTCCAGTTCCTGCAGATAACAAAGATATAAAATGACATGAAAATGACAAATTATTTAAAAAAAATCATGCTTATTTCAGTGACAGGACAGAGCAAATAAATCTGTGGATATAACTAGAGACGTGATCAGAATACACAACATAGCACAACAAAAAACTGAAAGTCTTATTACAAATTAACAGCAAAAGGATTTTAAAATATCTTGTATTCTTGAAAAAGAAATAACTGCAGCTGTGTGTCCTGTGGGTACCTTGAGAATGGCTGTCTTGCTGCTGAGCTGCTGCTCCAGCTGTGTAATCTGGGAGCTGGTGGTCTCTCTGAGTTTGGTCAGGCTGGCCTGCAGTCTCTGGACATCCTCCACCAGCTGGGCAGTCTCCCTTTCTTTGGCCCTGAGCTCTGCCTCCAGACTTGAGTGGGATGCCGCCTCTGCCACCGGTTCCTAATAGCCAAACAGAATAGCATTGTAGTCTAACAAACAAGCTACAACCTATATAAGTATAGGTTCTCAGATATATCAGGGTTCCCACTCTTCTCAAGAAATCATTTTCCAGGACATTCGTAGGACAGACGTAAGGCTGTGATGTCAAATGGGGATCATGTCCTAGACTAACAAGTGCCTCCATGTAGAAGTAACTTTTAAATCATACATGTTAATCTATAATGATACTTTATCTGTGTAACTAGTCCTCAGGTGCTTTATGACCGATTGATTATTGATGACTGTCGCATGCACACACCCAGATGTTCAGTCCCTCAATGTGCGACTGTTTTTATCCTACAATAAATGTGTGAACTTTACTTTCTGCAGCTTTTCTCGAAAAAAAAAACAAAAACCAAAAAACCACACACAATCTGACTTGACTCCAACAGCAAAAAGCAAGCTATAATAAACACAGCAACATTCACGAAGAGTTTAGTCTTTTTTCCCTATAATTTCTAAATTGATCTGTGTGGGTTTATTGCCAACGGACGCTGCAGATAACCATATCCTCTGAAAGTGCCTACAGAAGAAAGGTTTCGTATTCATGAGTTTAGATTTGACTTACTATATCTTCAAAAGGCCTATTACTTTTGACTCAAATTCAACTCAAGAATACACTTGACCCTCAGATCTACCACAACCTGCCAGAAAAGCTTTTGGCTTAGTTTTGTTGAATGTCCATTTCTATTACTGATCGTATTATGTTAAAATGCTAGCCAACTAACAACCAACTGTTTTCACAATCTCCTCTGAGGGGAGGCCCATCTCCCTACAATTTGAAAAGCCCTGTCTTAGGATATTCAGTGTAAAACATTACTAAAACAGGCCATAAACTTCGACCCTTGCCATTCTAAGCTTATATCCCACACTGCCCTAATTTCAGCTGCCATCTCATACTGACATTTGACAGTTTGCTCTCAGCAAAAGGAAAAGCAAGCTATAATAAACACAACAACAGTCACAAAGAGTCTACATTTTCAAGTCTTTGATCAAATTCTACAACTATTAAAATGCCTCCAAGAGGGAAAAGAGCTAATAAATCAGAAGCGAATGAGGATGTTGAAGCAGAAGAGAATTATATTTCAGCGGCGCAAGTAACAGAGATGTCGAGTCAGCAGAAGCAGATGTACACCGCACTGTTGAGCCAACAACAAGATAACTTCAAAGGTTTTGTGCAACTACTTATGGAGACAAATAACAAGAGACTCGACAACATGACCAGAGAAATACAGGAGATAAAAACGAGT